GCCTTCTGGAAGCCCTTCATACTCAGTAACAATCACAGATTTTTATCTCAATTTTATTTATTTATTAAGAATATATATATACCATTTCAGTGGTTTCTACGTGTACAGTTCAGTGATATTGATTGCCATCTCTGAGTTGTAAGACAGTTCTGAGCAGTGTTCCTGTTCATTGACATCAACACCTTTCCCTAAGGTTCTGATCAAATCTTTCAAGTTGCTGTTGTCAATTTGATTCTATGTAAATAGTTCTTTAAAAAGCATAATGCTTAAGGACAGACCTTTTTTTTGCTAGTTAAGCTAAATTTTTTAATTCTTTTTAAGACTTCAGGGGATATTTTTGATGTAAAGAATATTTCAGGGCAGTACTTTGAGGGATTCATCCACTCCATGGCTCCAGAAAGTCTAGAGTCTGTGAGAATTTGAATTGTGTTCTGCATTTTCCCCTTTTGATAAGGATCCTTCTGTGGGATCATTGATCAAAACATTCCGTAATGGTAGTCAGGCACTATCCAGTTCTGGTCTCACTGCAAAGGAAGCTACTGTTAAAGGAAACTTTTTGTATTCAATCCATATCTTCCTATTCCTGACTTTTCCTCTGTTGCTCTAGGCCAATAGAGACCAATTGTGCTTTGGATGACCCCTTGCAGGTTTAAAAGACCCCAGGAAGTATACAATGAACTAGGAGATAGAACAGAAGCACTAAACACAGTATTAAGCCAAATTAAGTAGGATGTCCCATGAAACCATGGCATTGAGCGTCAAAACCAAGGAGCCAAATCCTATTAGGTATTTGGTTGTATAAACGCAGCCTCAGGAGTGCTGGAGTGGTGCTGCATGTTAATGTGCTGGTCTGCAAAGTCGATTTGAACTGCAAGGTCTGAGGTTCAAGCTCACCAGCTGCTTCTTGGAAATCCTATACAGGGTCGCTATGGGTCGGAACTGAATAGATGGCACTTAATAACAAGTAGCCTCAGCAGATAACTCTTTTGTTACTGCCCTTGTTGTTAATAGATACAGCATACAACTTTGGCCAGTTCAACTTTTTACAGGTATACAACTTATTAATGGCAATTACAATAAATAATTGGCTGTGCAGCCCTCTCCTTAATGCAACTCCCCCCTCCCCAAAACCTGGTATCCACTAACAAACTTTGGTCTCTGTACATTTGCCTTGTCTTTTTATGTAAATGAGGTCATAGTATTTGTGCTTTCGTGATTGACTTACAGTGTAAATGTCTTCCAAGTTCCATCCGTGATGTCACAGAACATGTATGTATATATCTGTGTGTGTGTGTGTGCGTTTAATTTTTTTTACATAGCAAATTGTGGTCCCATTTGATAATTTCCAGTTCAGTGAAATTAGTTGTATTTCTTATAGTGTATCAGCATTTTCTTTTAATTGTGTTCAGTTTGTCCCCTTTCTAGTACCTCTAATAATCACTGCTCCTTATCTTCTCATCTTTGCTTTGACTACTTGGTTTCATATTTTTGGTTTTTAACTGGGCCACTGATTTTATGGGTGGTGGTGGTTACGTGCAGTGGACCTGTGTCTGTATAGGATTTCTGAGACTGTAAATCTCTATGGGAGTAGAAAACCTCATCTTTCTCCCATAGAGCAGTGGGCAGATTTAAATTGCTGACCTTGCAGTTAGCAGCCCACCTTGTAACCCATTGTGCTACCAGAGCAGTTTGATTTAATGAGTAATACACTTTATTTTGTGTGCCACTCTGCTTTTTCACCAAAAAGTGAGCCCAGGGCATAGAATCAAGGTCTAGATTTGAAAAGGATCTCAGGGCAGTAGTCTCAGGGAGCCCTTTGTTCTCTACTATGCTAGTTTGTCTGGCGTTTTTTTTTTAAATAAGAATTTGAGTTTTCCGTGTTTTTCGCCCGTTTCCAGGACCGACTCTTGTGACGCAGTCAAAATGGTCTGTGTTGGTAGCCGGGTACTATCTAAGTCTTCTGGTCTCGGGACAAATGAGGGTGGGACTTCTGTAGATATTTTTTTTCTCTAAGTTTTCTGGATATCATCTCACTGTTTTGCTCCTGGCAAGTAGAGACAAGATGGCAGCTGACACATTACTTTTTTCACTAGGGTGCCGATCATGAATTTTGTGTCATAGTGTATTTTTAAATAAGAATTTCACGAATGTGTTAATAACACAAATGGTTAAGCGCTCAATTGCTTGCTGAAAGATTGATGATCGGGCTGCGAACCTTAAGGCCAGCAGTTTGAAACTACCAGCCGCTCCGCAGGAGAAAGATGAGGTGTTCTGCTCCCGTAAAGATTTACAGCCTCGGAAACCCTGTACAGGGTCGCTATGGGTCGAAACCGACTCGAAGGCACTTAACAACAACAACAGAGGTGATTTAGAAGACAGGTCTGCCTAACAATCTGCTTCTGAAAGGTCATTCCATTCTGTGGAGCAGTTCTACTCTGCTCATATGGGTCACCTTGACTCAATGTGAACTAATAACAAGAATTTTATAATTATAGGCATATGTTAAAGACCAAATTACCCTGTCCACAAGCATTAGAAGGGGTGATCAAGACTTTAAATCTAAGAAGAAAGCATAGTTTGTGTGTATCTTTTATTGGATCCCCCGCTTTTCTCTTTAAACCAGTAGCAGAGAAGAAGGGTATGTTAGAGCTGGTCTTGGGTTTTATTGTCATCTACAACCATCTACATGACCTTTGGGAAAATGACTCAGGAGTAGGGCTCATATTTGTCATTCCTAAACTAAATGTGGTTTCTAAGGTACCTTCAAACTCTAAAGCTGGAAGAGCTAATGAAATTTCAGTCTCAGAGTTGGAAGGGACTTTTTCTAGTTTGCAAGACTGGTTGGATTCTACAGTAAACATTTTCCTAATACAAGGAGGCTTCAAAAGTTCATAGAAAAGTACCATTATCTTCTAATTACATTTTCCCATGAAGTTTTTTAAAGCTCCCTCATATATCCAGCTTGGCACCTGTGAGTTGCAGGAAATATCAGTTCACTGTTTATGAAATGATTTTAATATAGAACATCAGTGGTCTGCCTTTGCATTTAATATTAAGTCTGTCTTGTGGTACTTAAGACTCCGTAGTACAGATGCATACCCAGAAATACTCCTTTTAAGAATTCATGTGTGAAAAACAAGATTATTATAAATCCATAACTATGGGAAGGGTAACTCAACAAATGGGATCATAATAATTGTTGACTAGAAAAATATTTGTTAAGATACCTGTATTTTACATCATACCCTCAAACAATTTTCAGATGTTTTAAGAATTAAGTATAAAAAATCATTTAAGACTAGAAGAACATAGAAATGAATTAACTTGGGTCAGAAATGGATATTGAAAAGTAAAGTAAGTGAGGGAAATATGCATAGGAAATGTTACTGGTAAAATTGTTGTCTTTTATTTGGAAAGAATTAATACAAACCCGTAAGAGCACTGAGATCCAATAAACTTCACAGAGTGCTTATGAGAAAAGGAACATGCCCTGAGCGAAATTTGGGGGTTCTTTGTAATCCTCAAATTTGTTATTATACTACTTACTAATTAGACCCTTACTTGTTGTTGTTGTTGTTAGGTGCTATTGAGTTGGTACTGACTCATAGCCACCTTATGTACACAACAGAACGAAACACTGCCCGATCCTAGGTCAACCTCACTGCTGTTGCCACGCTTGAGTCCATCGATGCTGCCACTTGCCCAGTCCGTCGCGTTGGGGGTCTTTCTCTTTATCTCTGACCCTCCACCTTACCAAACATGATATCCTCCTCCAGTGACTGGTCCCTCATGACAATATGTCCGAAGTATGAGAGACGAAGTTTGGCCATCTTGGCCTCCAAGGAACACTCTGGATGCACTTCTTCCAAAATGGATCTATTGGTTCTTTTGGCAGCCCGTGGCACTTTCAATATTCTCCTCCAGCATCATAACTCAAAAGCATCAATTCTTCTCTGGTCTTCCTTAGTCACTGTCCAGTTTCGCATGCATATAAGGTTATTGAAAATACCATGGCTTGGGTCAGGTGCACCTTAGTCATCAAGCTGACATCTTTGCTCTTCAACACTTTAAAAAAAAGTCTTGTGCAGCAGATTTATCTAATGCAGTATGTTGTTTGATTTCTTGACTGCTGCTTCCGTGAGTGTTGATAGTTGATCCAAGAAGAATGAAGTCCCTGACAACTTCAGTCTTTTCTCCAAGAATGTTGTTTATTGGTACAGTGGTGAGAATTTTTGTTTTCTTTACATTGAGATGTAATCCATACCGAAGGCAGTGCCCTTGGTCATATGCTACCTCTTGAAACAGTTGAACATTAACCATTTCCTTTTGGTACAGTGATTCTGTGTATTCCTTCCATTTTCTCTTGATGCTTTCTGCTTCATTCAATAATTTGCCCAGAGAATCTTTCAATAACAAAAGTCGAGGCTTGAATTTTTTCTTCAGTTCCCCCAGCTTGAGAAATGCTGAGTGTGTTCTTCCTTTTTCGCTTTCTGATTGCAGATCTCTGTACATTTTGTTGTACTATTAGACTTTGTCTTCTCGAGCTGACCTTTGAAATTTTCTGCTCAGCTCTTGTACCTCCTCATTTCTTCCATTTGCTTTAGCATCTCTACGCTGGAGAGTAAGTTTCAGTGTTTCTTCTGACATCCATTTTGACCTAGTAATGGCACTTAAGGAAAAAAATTAGTCTAAAAGAAGAAAAACAAAGCAGTTTAAATTCACATTGTTTTAAAATAGCTCTCCTTGGGTGGTGCAAACTCTTAAGCACTGGACTATTAACAATTATCTGAAAAGTTGGCACCTGAAACCCACTCAAAAACCATTCAGAAGATAGACCTGGTCATCTCCTCTGCTCACATGGAGCAGCAGCAGCTAACAGCAAATTAGCTTTGAGGGGATTTTGTTGTTATATGTAATCTATTATCTCCTCCCCGAAAAAACAACTTTTTTTTTTTCTTCTCTTAACAGGTGTAAATTAATCATTTGAAAGCAACTAAACAATGGAGCCAGACGTTATTCGAATGTATTCTTCATCCCCACCACCACTAGACAATGGAGCCGAGGATGATGATGACGATGAATTTGGGGAATTTGGTGGGTTTTCAGAAGTTAGCCCTTCTGGTGTAGGGTTTGTTGATTTTGACACACCAGATTATAGTCGTCCCAAGGAGGATTTTGTACCTTCAAACCATTTTATGCCAATACATGATTTCTCAGAAAATGTAGATAGCCTTACAAGCTTTAAGCCCATTAAAAATAGTAATGATAAGGACAGCACTGCTGAACTTCCTGCTCTTGTGAAAGAACAGTCTGATGTTTTACTTTCTGCCACCAGCAAAGACATCATTTTGCCTAAAACTTTAGATACTTCCATGGAAAGTCCAGGAGATTTAAATAAAGCAGTGGAGCAGAGACAGAATGTTGGAACACCTGAAAGTTTCTCTCCAGGAGATTTTAGAACTGATGTGAACGCTATTCATCAAAAGCAGCATTCAGAGAGCTGCAATGGTAAAAAGCCTCCTTGTCTGGAGATTCTAACAAATGGGTTTGCAGTTTTGGAAACTGTAAATCCTCAGGGAACAGATGATCTGGACACTGTAACTGACTCAAAGGGACTAAAGCAGCTTGACACTCCTAGCACTGAGGAAAATTTAGACTCTGCACCTAGTCCTGCAGAGGAATTTGCAGATTTTGCCACATTTTCCAAAAAGGAAAGGATACAACTAAATGAAATAGGGTGTACAGTTTTGAATGATAGAGAAGCTGTAACCATTCAGGAAAACAATAAAATTAACAGAGTCAGTGAACTAAATGCTGTGAAAGAAGTGTCTTTGGAAAGAAGCCTTGACAACAATGGAGACACTGATGGAGAGGATGCGGTTTGTGTTTCAGAAACAAGTGGAGTGAGGAACAGAAGTTTCAATATTGAGAAACAAGACCCTAAAACACTGCAACAGGATGAGTTTTTAAATTCAAGCATTGCGTCACATGCTTGGAGTTTGGTAGACTCTGCTGATATCTCAGAAGCCAATAGGAAAGAACAATGGAAAACTGAGGAAAAACTTGATTTATTTACTTCTAAATGTGCTGACTTATGTATGGATTTTATTAAAACGGATGAAGCTGACAATGAAATTGGTTCTTCCAAAGAAGAAATCCCAAAGTTTACTAATACCCAGAGTCCCAGCATCGATCCCACAGAAGAAAATGTTTTAGAAGATTCTGTAAGTATAAAAAATGGCGATAGTAGTAACGACTTCGTGACTTGCAATGATACAAACGAGGATGATTTTGGTGAGTTTGGCACAGCCAGTGGGACAACACCTCCATTTGCTCCTGGCACTCAAGATTCAATGAGTGATGTCACTTTTGAAGAGTCCTCGGAACCCTTGCCACAATTTAGTGAACCAGGTGATGACTTTGGAGAATTTGGGGATACGTATACTGTTTCTTGCCAAGAAGATGTTATATTTACCAAGTCAGACCTGAATCAGACTTCTGATAGTTTATCAGAGGGCTGTCAGTTAGCAAGAAAGTCTACTGGGACAGGCATTGAGCCTGCTTCAAAACTGAAAAATGGGCAAGAAGGTGAGTTTGGAGATTTTGATTCTGTGCCAAATATTCAAGATGACTGCAGTGCTTCTCAAGACTCTGATGATTTCGCAGACTTCAGCTCAGCTGGTCCCAGTCAAGTTGTAGCTTGGGATGCTTTTGCGAATGGGCAGAAAGAGAGCTGTTCTTGGGCTGCTTTTGGAGATCATCAGGCTACTGAATCTCATCACCGAAAGGAGGCCTGGCAGTCACATAGGACAGATAAACAAGATGATACTTCAGGAACCCCGGCAACTCATAGTGTCCCTTTCGCAACTTCCAGAGGAGCAGTTGCTACTGGCCATTTGCAGGAATCAGCCACTTCAGTTCAGGTATTTACTGATTTTCTCTATTTTATATGACGTATTAATTGCCATGGAGGCTTCTAATTTACCTTTTTAAAAAATCTTTTTTTTTTAAACTGGGGTACCTGTTAAAGGCGTCTTTTTCCCCTGATATATATTGCTTGCCTGATTTGTGGGTTAATTTCGTTTTCCACAAGCCTTTGGTAAAATAGACAGTTTCTATAGTAAAACTTGGTAAGATTTTTTTCTTTATCTTAGTGAATTTTTTAAAATAGTTACAGAAATGCATCAACTTGGTGTTTTAGTTTATGAATGTAAATATCATTTATGTGAAACTCTCATCAGCAAAATAACAATTTGAGTGAAGTCTTCAGTTTTTACCTTTACATTGAGTGATTTTAAAAGAAGATTAATTACATTGAGATTGAATTTTTTTTTTTTTAACTTTAGGAAATGATATCTTAATTTTGTTCATCAAATACCTAGGATATTGAAGTATATATAGTTTGATTGTAGGAGAGAGCAAGCAGTTGAAACCTCAGCCTGGACTGGAGGCCATGATTAATTAAAAGATAAAAAAAAAGAATTTAGAAACTGCTGTTTGGACCTCATAATTTAGCAGGCACTTTTAAAAGGTCTAGAGTGAGGGTGGGGATGGACTAAGGTTTAGACCTTAAAACAAAAACAGCCATAAGTTGACTTACATTGCTGCTGTGAAGTGCCTTCAAGTCGTCTCCAGCTCATAATGAACCTATAAAGGGTTTCTGAAGAGCACTACTTGGTTCATACCGCTGACTTTGTGATTAGCAGTCCAGTGCTTATCCTACAGCACCACACCAGGATTCTCTGTCACACCATGGTCGTGGTGGTGATGTGCAGTGGAGTTGGTTCCAACTCATAGTGAACCTTCATAGGGCTTCTGAGGCTGTAAATCTTTATGGAGGCATAAAGCCTCATCTTTCTCCAAGGAATGACTGGTAGTTTAGAACTCCTAACCTTGAGGGTAGCAGTCAGACTTGTAACCGTTATGCTACCATAACTCCTACCTTAGTTGTATTTATTATAAGCTTGTTAAGTTCTTTAAACATATATTTGTGTTTACTGTCCTTAGGGCATAGTTGTGCCTGGGAGATATTTTCATTGCACACAACCACTAATACCCCCTATCACAGCCCCAGCACCTATTCTTCATCCTTTTCTAGCACAAAGTCATCTAGAGAAGATCCCACAAGTTTTATTTTGACCTAAAACCTATGCTCAACAGTTCTCAAACTGCAAGAATTGAAGGAAAAAAAATGTATCCTTGATTTGCAGTACTGAAGGATTCTGGTGGATATTGAAGGGTTCTGGATAGCACTGGACTGTTAACCACAAAGCCCATGGTTTAAGCCCACCTATTGTTCTATAGGAGAAAGATGAGGCTTTCTGCTCCCATAAAGATTTACAATCTCAGAAATCCCATACAGGGTCACTTTGAGTCAGAACTGACTTGACAGCACTTAATAGCATCAAAGTAACCCCAAGAGGAGCAGATTGATATCCTGGTTGTTCCCTAGTCTTGAATTGTACCATGTGCTAAATTTCACTTTTTCTCTACTCCAGGGCAATAGAACATTCCCTTGAAAAGCACTGAGTTAATGTGATAATTGATACACTTAAAATTGGTCCATGGCCTTACTTTAAAGATATTGTGAAAAGAATCAGAATCTACAAACTTAAATTTTGTTAAGAAAAACATTTTCAATTGAAAAATTTTCCAAAGTCTGAGTGTTAATTTAAATGATTATGCATGGTTGCTTTAATATCTTTGACTCAATAAGATGTTAGAGAAATTACCGTATTACCAGTTGGTGAGCACAGCTAATCACTTTCCATTTGAATCGTTGTTATGTGTCTCAATAGTTGAGTTTGCTAATTCAGTTATTACACGGTTCAACTAAGTATTCTATTCCTATTGAGTAATTTATTACTGAGGTAGAAGCTTGCAGTTTTAAACAGGGAATGAACTAATTGTAATGCAAACTGAAGACTCTGGGTTTTGATCTAGTCCATCTCTATTTCATTTCATCTGGCTACTAGAGTATAAGGTAACACTAGTATTGGATGATCTCTAATTTGTAAACTTAGAACTTTGAAAAGGCTGTTAAGTGCCATCAAGTCGGTTCCGACTCAAAGTGACTCTGTTTAGAGTTTCCCAGGAACAGTTGGTGGGTTTGAACTGCCAACCTTGTGGTTCACAGTCAGTCCAGTGTTTATACTACACTCAAATAGAAATTCCTTTCATCATTTATGTATAATCTGATGGTTGGCATATAGAGCATAATGAAGTATATGTACTCTTTGGAATCTGACAGATCTGAGTTTGAATTTTGGCAGTCTCGTAATCTTTATGGCTTTGGACACGTCAGGTCTCTAAACCCAGTGTTAGTGAAAAGGACTTACTAAATTGTTGGTATTCACTTTAAAGGACTTTTGTAAAGATTAAATGAAAGTAAATGAGGAAATCAGAAAAAAATTCAATATGCTGCATCTATAGAATTTTGTCATATAATTCAATTTGTGTTTTTTGTTGTTTTTTAAAAAAAGCCAAAAGTGCATAGATATGTGTGGTAAGGTGTGTTGAAACTTCCTGAGATAGGTCTGAAGACCAGTAGGGTGAGCTGGTTTGGCTTGGGCCTCAAGCTTTTCTTTTGCTGAATGGAATATGCAAATTTGCTGAATGGAATATGCAAATTAACAGGGTTTTGGAGATTGGTGTTATGTAGGACCCTGGAATAGACTGTGAGGAGAAACTTGGAGAGGAATTTAAGGTAGGAAAGTAGGTAAGCCCTGCCAAGTGACCAAGTCAGAAGAAGGTAAAGACTGCACAGTGACCGTCTTTCCCTGTTGTGGCAAAGGAGATGTGTGGCCTGCAGTTCTTCCTTGTCCTCCACAATCTTCTAGAAAACTGTATTCATCTAGTCCCCCTACAGAGGAGTAGATTAAGTTTTATTTTTTATTAAAATGCTTTTCCTGATGGATGCCCTGTTGAGGGCAGCACAGAAATCCTCACCTATCAATGATGGTGGTTGTCTGCCATCAAATGGGTTCTGACTCAGAGTGACCCTGTATAGGGTTTCCCAGGCTGTAAATCTCTATGTGGACAGAAAGCCTCACCTTTCTTCTGCAGAACAACTGGTAGATTTGAACTGCTGGCCTTGCGGTTAGCAGCCCAGCTCACAATCCATGATGCTATCACAGCTGTAAATATTAGGTTTTTAAAGGTAAAACTTGAAACGATTTATTCTTACTGAATCCTACCTCCATGCAATTAATGGCCAAAACAGAACTATCAAATGACTGTTCAAATCCTGCTTTCACTGAATGTTGTGAGGCTCAAACTGAATTAAACAAACATGGTGAATAATTATTTGCTTTGTGAAGTCAGACAAATGGTATAGTTGTCATATTGGATTTCTTCCACTTTTCATTGTATTTGGAATGTGACATTGTCTAGCTCCTTCATTTTTAGTACTTTCCTTCTTTCAGCCTACCAGAAAGGTATCTTAAAATTGTAATAAATACAAGGGGGTTTCAAACGTTCATAGAAAAATGGAATAGAAAGATGGTGGATTTTTCCACTAAGTTTTTGAAGTTCCCTTGTATATCTTCCTGTGGTCAAATAATCAATTATTACATCTTTGTTGGAATAATTGATTACTTCGGTGGAGGAAAGTCAAAGCAAGAAGAAATCTTTAAAACTTTTAAAGTGTTCTCAAACGAATCCTCACATGTGGGCCCAGCAAGCCTCAGAGGTCCTTGGTGTGAAAACCCTATTATGAACATATATTGAGAATAGACATTTTCCTCTGTTGGGTCATTTTACCCCCGGTTGGGACCCCGGGGGGTTCATCAGTTGTTGAGAAAAGCAAATGTTGGTATCTCCATTCTACAGATTGGAAAGATGTCAAAACTGGTTTTCCATTTTAAAACAAAATGATGACAGCAACAACAAAAATGCATTTTTCCAAAAGACTATTCTGTATGTTGTTCTAGCGATTTTCAATTAAAAAAACAAAAAACCTTTTAGTGTGCCAGAAAGGAATCTGTGTTAGTTATTTCAATCAAGTCTTTTTCCTCATGTATAGTAAGAGATGTCATACATAAGTATTGCATTTAACCCTGAGCTTTTGTAACAATTTTAAATACTCCTCTGGATGTTATTTAATAATTTAGGTCATTGGTAACTAATCTGTTTATATTAATTGGTTATATAGAAGGAGGCTATGTGTCATATTAGCTATCTAATTGATAATTTGTTGTTGTTGTTAAAGTGTTGTCGAGTCTGTTCCGACCCCATAGGGTTTCTAAGGAGTGACTGGTGAGCTTGAACCACTGATCTTGCTATTCAAACTGACTTTACAGTCCAGCTCATTAACCCACAGCACCACACCAGAACTCTTGTTGTGGAGTCGGTTCCGACTCATAGCAACCCTGTATAGGGTTTTCAAGGCTGTAAATCTTTACGGGAGCAGAAAACCTCCTCTTTCTCCTGCGGAACTGCTGGTAGTTTTGAACTGCCGACCTTGAAGTAAGCAGCCCAACTTGTAACCACTATGCTACCAGAGCTCCTTGTTATGTTGTTGTTATGTGCCATGGAGTTGGTTCTGACTCATAGCGACCCTGTACAGGGTTTCCAAGGTAGCTCTGGTAGCGTAGTGGTTACGAATCAGGCTGCAAACCGCAAGGTCAGCAGTTCGAAACTACCAGCTGCTCCGCGGGAGAAAAATGAGGCGTTCTGCTCCCGTAAAGATTTACAGCCTCCGAAACTCTGTACAGGGTCGTTATGAGTCAGAACCGACTCCACAGCACACAGCCACCAAATCGTTACAGGAGCAGAAAGCCTCATCTTTCTCCTGTGGAATAGCTGGTAGTTTCAAACTGCCGACCTTGAGGTTCGCAGCCCCATTCATAACCACTACGCTACCAGAGCTCCTTGTTAGGTGCCATCAAATCGGTCATGACTCTGTATTGGGTTTCCAAAGCTG